ACTCTTCATAGTTTGGTTCATAACCAGTCCATCAAGATCCTCGATGGGTAGGCGAGGTTGCAGGATTTCTTGGTCAAACTGAGACACGATGATTAGGTAACATGTGATTGAACAACTTGAAGGAAACTTTTAAACATGAATTATATATCAATGGTGTCTCATAGGGAAAACAATATGCATGTCCAATAATTGCTCGACAATCTAATGTGATCCTTTTTCCTTATTCAATGCACAACTGCATGAACACTTACTAGCAAGGGAAAAAGCTAGTACCCAGGAAAAAGTTGTATAACTCTAGTCTTGCAGCAACCTGATGCAGTGCACAACTGCATGAACACTTACTAGCCAAGGAAAAAAAGGACAGTAGACTTCTATATTGTAACCTTGTACCATATACTAATGCGTATCAGTCAGAATTTCAAAAAAAATAATCTTAATATACGATGGATATTTTTGTAATACACGATGAGCATTTTTATAATGCAAGGTGAACTTTTTCATAATATACAGTGAACATTTTTCTTGGTATATGATGAACATTTTTGTAATATGCAATGAAATTTTTTATACAATACTCAGAAAGGAAAAAAATAAACAAAAACGATACATAGTAGAAAATTCAGAAAAGGAAAAAGGAACCAAAACAGAACAAAACACTGAGAACTGGACAAAACAGCGAAAAAACCGGAATAAAAAACCACAAAAGAAAAACAAAGAAAACAATCCGCATGAAACAAGAACGAACGAAAAGAATCAGGTGGATCCATACCTGGGCTTGCCAACTGGAGGCTGGTTTCAGAGAAGCCATGACTATTTTCGTGTTTTTAGTAATTGAATTCCATTAGTTTTGGTCGAATATAGACTAGAATTTGTGCCAAAAAAAGACCTTAAATGTTCGTCCCGGCAAAGTTTAATTTCTGGATCCGCCACTGCGAGTCATGAGAACGACCGGCGCAGAAGACCGGCCTGTGTCTTGGTCGGAGTCAAGGTATATATTGGCTTCACACGAGAAACGCGTGTCCAGGTGGGTGAGGCTGCTTTACAAGTGTTTTTAAACCCCTGAACCCTCACCTCGCACTCGCACTCTCAGCTCGAGCTCACACACGGACACCTCCGCAAACACACCAAGCAGAAGAAGGTACGTCTGCTCTCCGGCCGGACAGCTGCTGCAGAGGTGCGCTGCTCTTTCCTTATTATCTCCTTCAACAATCACGTCTTGCCGTGTGTGCGTCCTTGTTTTACACGATCATTTTCCATATGCATGCAGTAATTGCTCCATAGTCCATACTAGTGAGGTCGATCATGGCGAACTCCGCGGCGCCACCGCCGCTGGCGGGTCGCCTGGTCCTCTCGTCTGCCCTGCTCCTGCTGCTGCTTCTCCTTAGTCTCAGGCAAGCCCAGGGCCGTGCCACGCCCGGAGGCCCTTCGCTGAGGGCTCAAGCCGCGGCGCTTCTCCACTGGAGATCATCCGTCAAGTACTCCGTGAAGCACCAGCTGGGAACCTGGAGAGACGACGGCATGTACCCGTGCAACTGGACCGGCATCACTTGCGGGTCACGAAGAGGGACCACGGTGAAGGTTATCAGAGGAATTTCCCTTGGCGGTGCCGGCATTGCAGGGCGGCTGGACGCCCTGAGTTTCCACTCACTCCCTTACCTCGTCAACCTCAACCTCAGCAACAACTACCATCTCTCTGGTGCCATCCCTTCTGGCATCGGCTCTCTTTCCATACTTTCCACCCTCGACTTCTCCGGTGATCAGCTTGACGGCAACATACCTCCGTCGATCTGCAACCTTGGGAGGCTCACGCACATGGATTTCTCCAACAACAATCTCACCGGCCAAATCCCTCCTGCCTTGGGTAATCTCTCAAGACTTGCTTTTCTTTCTCTACTTGGGAATAGCCTCTCAGGTAGCATTCCATGGCAGCTCGGACAGCTTGGGGACATGAGGCAGATGCATTTGGGCTGGAATATCTTTTCTGGCCAAATACCTTCCACCCTCGCAAACCTGACGAACCTCAACTTTCTTGGCCTTTCTGCTAATCGTCTGTCAGGATCCATACCTGAAGAGCTAGGACAAGTCCAAACTCTGCAAAAACTATACTTGCACAACAATAGCCTGAATGGCACAATTCCATCCTCGCTTGGAAACCTCACGATGCTCAGGTTCCTGTATATATATATGAACCAGCACACTGGCTCGATCCCGGTAGAGCTTGGGATGCTCTCGAGCTTGATTGAGTTGGATTTGTCAGAGAACCATTTGACCGGCTCAGTTCCTTCTAGTGTTGCTGGAAATCTTACTTCATTAGTTTATTTTTCTCTTTCGGGCAACAATATAACTGGATCCATCCCACATGAGTTTGGAAATCTTGTGAATTTGGAAACACTTGATTTTGCAGTCAATTTCATAGTTGGGTCGGCGCCGTCAAGCATTGGGAACATGTCTTCACTCACCCGGATGTACATTTCTAGCAATAATCTCTCTGGTCGATTGCCGGCCGAGTTTGGAAATTTGGCAAAGTTGGAAAAACTTGATTCCTCCGAAAACCATTTGTCTGGCTCAATCCCTCAAAGTTTTGGAAAATTTGCACGCATGACAGAAACGCGACTATACACGAATCACCTCTCTGGCACTTTGCCGTCATCTCTCTCCAACCTTACCAGCTTGGTCCTCATTGACCTAGGTGGCAACCAGCTGACGGGACACTTGCCAAATTTTTGCCGAAGTAAAAGACTAAAGATTTTTGATGTTATGGATAACAATTTGGATGGTCCCCTCCCAAAAGGCTTGAAGGATTGCACTTCACTAACATCCCTTGGACTTGATAATAATCAGATTGAGGGAGACATAACTGAATCATTTGGGGTGTATCCTCATCTCAATGACATTAGTTTATATTCAAACAGATTTGTAGGCCGGCTCTCGCCAAATTGGGGCTCATGTCAGAACTTAACAAGTATTGATTTTACACATAACATGATAGAAGGCAGTATACCTTCTGAGCTTGGGGAGCTAAAAAATCTTGGATGGCTCGGGCTCAGTTTCAATAGGTTCAATAGTGAGATACCACAAGAAATTGGCAGGTTAAGTAACTTGTATTGGATGGATTTAAGAAACAATCAACTATCTGGCCAGATCCCTAAGCAAATTGGGCAACTTCGCAATCTCGAGAACCTTGATTTCTCAAGCAACTTTTTATGTGGTACAATACCAAAGGAGATCGGAAATTGTTTGAGACTGCAGTCATTAAATATGAATAACAACAGTCTTAATGGAAGTATTCCTGGTAGTTTGGTTAATTTAACTTCCCTGCAAAGCATGCTTGATCTTAGCATGAACAGTCTCAGTGGACCACTGCCATCGGAACTTAACAGACTAGAGATGTTGATGTCTGCAAATTTCTCACACAATCAATTCAGTGGTGCCATCCCTGTATCGATTGCGAGCATGCAAAGCCTATCAATATTTGATCTGTCATACAACTTCCTAGAAGGATCTGTTCCAAAAGGGATCCACAATGCATCAGCTGAATGGTTTCTCCACAACAAAGGTCTTTGTGGAGACCTTGTTGGCATGGCTCCTTGCAATTTACCCAATGCGGATCATACACGAGAGCATCAAAAGATTGTACTATCAGTCATTCTTTCTATGTTCGCTGCTACTATTTCAGTAGCAACATGTATAATTTTCATATTTATTTGCCGCACGAAGGTATCATCAAAAACTGATGATGTGAGCAAAAGGGATGTATTCTCTGTATGGGGCTTTGATGGTAGAATAGTATTTCAGGATATTATCAATGCAACCGACAATTTTGATGAGAAACATTGTATTGGAGAGGGGTCGTACGGTAGTGTTTATAAGGCAGAACTTCAAGATGGACAAGTGGTTGCAGTAAAGAAACTCTATGCAGGCGACGAAGAGGCACATGATGAAGAAAGATTCCAGCATGAGATTGAAATGTTAACAAAAATCCGCCAACGCAGCATCGTCAAGTTGTATGGCTATTGTACTCATCCACAGTGCAGGTTCCTTCTATGCGAGTTCATAGAGAGAGGAAATGTAGCTTCTATCTTGAGCAACGAAGAACTAGCAATCCAGTTCAACTGGGAAAGGAGAATAGCTCTAATAAGAGATGTGGCTCAAGCCATCACTTACCTCCATCATGATGTTCACCCACCCATAATTCACAGGGACATCACAAGCAGAAACATCTTACTAGATGCTGACTACAAAGCATTTGTCTCGGATTTTGGTATTGCAAGAATGTTAAAGCCCGATTCATCGAATTGGAGCGCACTAGCGGGGACCTATGGCTACATTGCACCTGGTATGTTTATTCAGTACAATACTATATTTTCTAGTAAGTTGTGTACGATAGAATGCACTGATGCATATGCCTAATTAATCCTTATGCTACTGTGTTGGATGCAGAATGTTCATACACTTCTCTAGTCACAGAGAAATGTGATGTGTATAGCTTTGGTGTTGTGGTGCTTGAGGTGTTGATGGGCAAACATCCAGGAGACATGCAAAATTTTCTTTCTTCACTTGGTGACCAGTTGCATCTGGAACAAATTTTGGACAAACAACTTCCACAACCTGAAGCTGAGGAGGCAAAAGACTTGAGACGGTGTATCTCTGTGGCGTTTGAGTGCCTAACTCCTTCACCCAAAGAAAGGCCAACTATGCAGAAAGCTTATCGAGATCTTTCCATCTGAGTTGTTACTGTACTTGTTAAATGCTTGCAGATGTACATTTTAGTCTTCTTCGGTTCAGAACAAACTTGGATTACCTTAGCTGTCCAAGCATCTATCTGCAAACCAAATAAATAGTGCTATTTCTGTTGGGCATCATAGAATATATGGGTCACAATATTACACTGTATAATTGTTCTTCCGGTGATCATACAGATTTATGATGATATTTTGGAAGGAGGCTTGATAGTTGTCTCATTTATGTTCTCTCTGAACTTCTGTTAGCCCCTGACCTTCCTTTATCTTTAGCACCGCCCACTGTGGGTTCTTTAAAATTTAGTCGGAAATTCTATGATGCATTTGGTATGTAAGAAAATCAGCACGGAGTGAACCAATTAATTTCAAAGAGTACTACCATCCTGCTGTGCCTCAAGATAGGCAGACACGTATGGATGGACTGCAAATGAGTGGATAGCATGGTGGACAAGGATGAGGTCAGTGGAGATGTCACTTAATCCTCCTTGAATAAACTGGAATGTTACAGTATCTCTTAATCCTTCTTACTATTCTGTTTGGATGTTGATATTGAGGGCCATGGCAGGATGAACATTGTATAGAAATTGGAAGAGATTAAGATTCTAGGGTTTCCTGTGATGGGGGCCTGGGGGATAGTGCCCATGGAGAAGCAGCAGCAGGCCAGCAGCCATGGGGGGCGGGGAGAGATGCAGCCATCGCCATGGGAGGCAAGGCGGCGGCCGCCGTAGTGCTTGTGCATCGGAGGTGGGGTGGGGGGAGCGGGTTGTGAGCCTGCGCCAGAGGTGCCTGTGCGGGAATAAGAAAGGCGGAGAGGCACACCTGTGGCGGAGGAAGAGGGAAGGAGAGGCACCTGCGCCGTTGGGGAGTTCGATGTGCGCCGCGCCGCCGCCCTTCATCTCCTCCCGCGCGCTGCTTCTAGGAGCCTCTGATTTCGGGACAGTAGAAACGGGGAAAGAAAGCAGGCCGACCAATATCTTGGGCCAATACAGAGCGTCAATTCCATGGCCATCCAAACAGAGATAATCGGGCTGTCTAATGCCCAATGCCAAAATCTGGGCCTCAGTATCAACATCCGAACGGGGTGTTATTGCCCTGGTATGTATCAGATATACTCTATGCTTCTCCTCTTGCCAAGTGCAACTGTGGAAGTATGGAGGGAGGGCGTACGGCAAGCAACTCGGTGAGATTTTGGCCTGTTGGTAACCCGAGATGCAGTTGCAGCAGCAACTTGAAGGGCCATGGCTGTGCCTGCAATGGTGATGAACTGATGATGCAAAACTACCAGCTGCAGAGCTGAGGATGTTTACTCTGATTCCTCCTTCAAACTGAATATGTACTCCTATGCCCATTCTGCTAGGATCTGGAGTGGAGTTGCTCGTATTCTTTCCCCAACTCAAGTGGCTTCCCAGTATTACCCTGCATCCTGTAATTAAAAAAATCTGATTTGATTGTAGAACCTTGCTTTGAAATACTTTCCGATTCTTGATTTAGCCGCAAGCCTTGTTTAATGGACGGACCTGTTTCATCCGTGCAAGATGCTAATAATGCCATACCCCGCAAAGAAACAGAGATGATAATGCCATGTGGAGTGTTTGTTTTTCTGCCAAAAGGGCGATCATTCCTGGACTTCCATAAACACTATAAGAAATTCATTATGTTGTTCAAAGAAGCCTAAGGGGGTTTAGAATTGAGAATGCCCTGAATAATAGCAGGAATTGTGCCAAAGGTCTGAACAAAATATCTGTTATTTATTTTATATATCAAGCTTCAGAGTATACCTGGCCGAACCTCGGGCCAGGCCGGGCTTCGGGCTGGGCCTAGCCAAGCCTGAGGCAAAAAACCTAGGCCCGGGCCCGGGCCGGCCATCGGGCCTTGTTTTTGGGCCCAAGCCCGGCCCGAACGCGTAAAAGCCCGCCAGGCCTCGGGCCTCGGGCCGGGCCCCTTCAGAAAAGCGCAAAAACGATGAGCCCGAGCCCGGCCATCGGGCTCAAAATCTAGGCCTGAGCCCGGCCCGGGAGCAGCGTCGGGCCAGGCTGGGTCAGGCTTTTTCGGGCCGGGTCGGGTCGGGCCGGGCTGCCCATGGCCAGGACTAGTTCAGAGAACCAAGCTGCTTTGGGCAATGTGCAAATAAAGAATAAGTGCAGGTCGGTTTCTTCCAGATGACATCTTGAGATATGTTTTTTGACGCGAGAAGAATCATCCTCTAAGCAAAATTTTGGATGGAACAGAAAAGCTGTTCAACTCTCCGAGGCTCATGTAAATCTTGCAAACAAATCCTGTAGGCATTTTTAGAAGTGCACTTCCCTGAATGATGAAGTTTGCAGCAGAGGAATAGGGAGTCAGATCTTTGCTTTGGCAGCCTGACTATGGACTCTGGCTGTACTTCTTAAGTACTGAGCCGAGTTAACGAGCATGTTGAGTTCTAGCCAGAAGAACAGCCGAGTGAACGAGCATGTTGCCCTCTGTACTCCAAGGAAACACAAATGTTCTCAGATTATAGCGAGATTATGTACAGTAAGCATGCTCCACCTTACATCCACGCAAGCTGAAGACCGTGCGTCGCCTCCAGCTGCAGCAGAAGCACGCCGCGACATTTCACTGAGGCCTCTCCCAGTGCACGAGTGCTTAGATGACGACACTTCACTGAGATCCCAGGCCGGGGCACTTCTCCACTGGAAATCAGTCGTCAAATCACGTGTTAAAGCGAATGAGGCGACAGACTGAACTTATCCTCTAATCAGCTTCCCGCAAAGCAAGTACATATGCCGTGCAAAATACAGTGTTTCGTTGCAGCTCTTTTTTTGGACGTCGATAAGAACCGAATGTTCGGTCTGGTGGCCTCCCAGTCCGATCCAGGAATTCGGTACGACACGCAGCCCCCTACGAACGAAATCGTTCGGGAGGAGAGGCCTCCAGCCCGAATGGTCCTTCCCGTCGCCCCCGCGGGCCTTTTCTCTGTACCAAAAAAAGCCCATAAGAACGAAAAAGCCTCTCTGTATTGGAGAGGGATCGTACGGTAGTGTTCTGTTGAGAATTAGCACACAAATGCACTTGTGGTTAACTGAAAACTGCAGCGGAAACAAGTAATCTCAGCACCACATCATGTACTAATTCAAGGATCGTTGCTTAGCACGGAAGGAAACATATGCAGCAGCATATATGGAGGCAGAAAATGTTACTCAGCAGGCAAGACACTCCTCAGCCTAGTGTCTTGTGGTAGGAGTAAGTTTTCCTGACAGCATCAAGCATCAACAAAGAGACACCAGATTTTTTACGTGGAAAACCCCCCAACTTGAGGGGAAAAACCACGGGCCGAAGCCACCCAAATCCTCTTCCACTATTATCAAACGCGGGATACAACAAGTTCTTCTCTAGACATCACTAGAGGATCTCATACATCAAGATTTCTGAATCTTGGATGAACACAACAGGATTTGGAGCTCAAGAACTAGGGATTGGAACAATCTCACTAAGGATGGTGGAACCGAAGCTTGAAGGAGGCAAGGTAATCTGGACCATCACAACCTTGGGGAGGAGCTCCCTTTGCTTCTTCCTTCAATCTTCCTCTTCTTCCCTTGCTCTCTTGGTTTTCTCTCTTCTTCTCTCTTGGAGGATGAACTGATTTTCGTCACACTTGGTGGTGGCTGCTGGATGGAGGGTAAAGCATCCCCATCCACACATGTGCAAAGTCCAAAATGACCCTAGGTCATAACCCTAATGGGTAGTGGGCTTTTGCACCTCTTTGGGCTGCCTAAAAGGCCTCAAATGGTCATCTCCTCACAGCCCACATGAGGAGGATATCCCAACAAAACTCCCCCTCCGACTCATGAGGGGGGCAGCGCCATGCCCGCTACCTTGCAACATGCTTGTAGCTTCTCATTTGGTAATATCTTAGTCATCATATCCGAACCATTGTCGTCTGTATGGATCTTCTCAAGTTTCAGCAACTTGGAACTCACAACATCTCGAATCCAATGGTACCTCACATCAATGTGCTTGGTTCGAGAGTGATAGCTTGAATTCGTGGCAAGATGAGTAGCACTCTGACTGTCACAAAACAGAACATACTTCTCTTGCTTCATGTCGAGCTCTTGCAAGAAGTTCTTCATCCACAAAACTTCCTTGCCAGCATCAACTGCTGCAATGTACTCAGCTTCTGTAGTTGATGTAGAAACACATTTCTGCAATCTTGATTGCCATGACACTGCTCCCCCTGCATAAGTCATCAGGTATCCGGATGTGGACTTCCTACGATCCTTGTCACCTGCATAATCTGCATCTGTATAGCCCTGCAATACATGATCACCTCTTCCAAAGCATAGACAAGATGTAGGAGTACCCTTGAGATACCTGAGAATCCACTTCACTGCTTCCCAGTGAGCTTTACCTGGATTTGTCATGAACCGGCTAACAACTCCAACTGCATAGGCAATGTCAGGCCTAGTGCATACCATGGCATACATCAAACTGCCCACAGCAGATTGGTAAGGTACTTTCCTCATTTCTTCTTTCTCCTTCTTGCTTGTAGGACATTGTTTAGAATTCGGTTTGTGATGGCCTGCAAGCGGAGAGATAACATATTTTGCATCTTTCATATTGAACCTTTCAAGTACCTTCTCAATGTATCTTTCCTGTGAGAGCCAAAGCAGCTTCTTTGATCTATCACGGGAGATCTTCATGCCAAGTATTTGCTTAGCTGGTCCTAAATCCTTCATGGCAAATGATTTACTCAATGCCTTCTTGAGGAGAGCAATCCTCTTTGTGCTATTTCCAACAATCAGCATATCATCAACATACAACAAGAGAATAATGAAGTCACCCTCGGCGTACCTCTTCATAAAGACACAATGGTCAGGTTGTGCTTTATGATAACCAAGCCCAGTCATAAAAGACTCAAACTTCTTGTACCACTGCCGAGGAGCTTGCTTCAAGCCATACAAGCTCTTCTTCAATTTGCAAACTAAGTGCTCCTTGCCTGCAACCATGAA